GGTGTCCCCAGGTGTCCCCAGGTGTGTCCCAGGTGTCCCCAGGTGTGTCCCAGGTGTCACAAGAAGCCACTCAGACATTTCGGGTGTGGTCAAGGAGTTTCTCAGGTGTTACAGGTGACGTCACAGAGCCCCCCCCAGGTGTGTCCCAGGTGTGCCCAGGTGTGTCCAGGTGTGTCCCAAGTGTCCCCAGGTGTCCCCAGGTGTCACAAGAAGCCACTCAGGTGTTTTGGGTGGGGTCAAAGAGTGTTCAGGTGTCACAAGAAACCCCCCCAGGTGCATCCAGGTGTCCCCAGGTGTGTCCAGGTGACCTCCAGGTGCTCCTCAGGTGTGCCCAGGTGCTCCCAGGTGTCCCCAGCTGTCCCTCAGGTGTCCCCAGGTGCCATCCAGATGTCCCCAGGTGTCCCCAGGTGTGCCCAGGTGTGCCCAGGTGTGCCCAGGTGTGCTTCAGGTGCCACCCAGGTGCTCCTAGATGTCCCCCAGGTGTTCCCAGGTGCTTCAGGTGACATCCAGGTGTGTCCAGGTGCACCCAGGTGCCATCTCGATGTCCCCAGGTGTCCCCAGGTGTGCTCAGGTGTGCTTCAGGTGACATCCAGGTGTGTCCAGATGCCATCCAGATGTCCCCAGGTGGCATCCAGGAGCTCCCAGGTGTCCCCAGGTGTGCCCAGATGTCATCCAGGTGTCCCCAGGTGTACCCAGGTGACATCCAGGTGACATCCAGATGCCACCCAGATGTCCCCAGGTGTGTCCCCAAGTGTCCCCAGGTACTCCCCAGGTGTCCCAGATGTCATCCAGATGTCCCCAGGTGTCCCCAGGAGCTCCCAGGTGTCCCCAGGTGACATCCAGGTGACACCCAGGTGTCCCGGGGGTGTTCCCAGGTGTCAATCAGGTGACATCCAGATGACATCCAGGTGTTCCCAGGAGCTCGCAGGTGACATCCAGGTGAGTCCTAGGTGTCCCCAGGTGCCATCCAGGTGCAGCCAGGTGTGCCCGGATGCCATCCAGATGTCCCCAGGTGGCATCCAGATGACATCCAGGTGTTCCCAGGTGCTCACAGGTGACATCCAGGTGTCCCCGGGGTGTCCCCAGGTGTTCCAAGTGACATCCAAGTGAGTCCCAGATGTCCCCAGGTGTTCCCAGGTGCTCGCAGGTGACATCCAGGTGTCCCCGGGGTGTCCCCAGGTGTTCCAAGTGACATCCAAGTGAGTCCCAGGTGTCCCCAGGTGCCATCCAGGTGCTCCTAGATGTCCCCCAGGCGTGCCCAGGTGCCATCAGATGTCCCCAGGTGGCAGCCAGGAGCTCCCAAGTGTCCCCAGGTGTCCCCAGATGTCCCCAGGTGTCCCCAGGTGCCATCCAGATGTCCCCAGGTGTCCCCAGGCACTCCCAGGTGTCCCCAGGTGTGCCCAGATGTCATCCAGGTGACACCCAGGTGACATCCAGGTGTCTCCAGGTGCCCTCCAGGTGCTCCTAGATGTCCCCAGGTGTGCTCCCAGGGGCTCCCAGGTGTCCCCAGATTCCCCAGGTGTCCCCAGGTGTCCCCAGGTGTGTCCCCAGGCACTCCCAGGTTTCCCCAGGTATCCCCCAGGTGTGCTCCCAGGTGTCCCCAGATGTCTCCAAGTGTCCCCAGGTGTCCCCAGGGTGCTCCCAGGTGTCCCCAGGTATTCCCCCGGTGTCCCCAGGTGACATCCAGGTGTCATTCAGGTGTTCCTGGATGTCTCCCAGGTGCTCCCCAGGCACTCCCAGGTGTCCCCAGGTGCATTCCCAAGTGTCCCCAGGTGTCCCCAGATGTCATCCAGATGACACCCAGGTGACATCCAGGTTTCCCCAGGTGTCCCCAGGTGCCATCCAGGTGTGTCCCCAGATGTCTCCAGGTGTCCCCAGGTGTCCTCAGGTGACATCCAGGTGTCATTCAGGTGTTCCTGGATGTCTCCCCAGGTGTCCCCAGGTGTCCCCAGGGGTCCCCAGGTACCATCCAGGTGTGTCCCCAGGTGTCCCCAGATGCCATCCAGGTGTCCCCAGACACTCCCCGGTGTCCCCAGGTGTGTCCCCAGGTGTCCCCAGGTGTCCCCAGGTGTGTCCCCA